AACTTTTATTGATTAGATACTGTGTTTACATATTTTCCTTTACCTTTGTGATGTAATGGGTACCGAAGTTGTCAATCAGTTTGTAAAATCGTTGTTTGAATTCTGGGGCGTAATATTTGGGAAGATCTTTCACTGCTTTCCGAAATTCTGTGTGCAGCTTTGGAGTATTTGACACTCGGTAGCTTGTTCACAGAAAGACGAAAGACAAGAAAAGACAGAAAGAGTATAAAACAAGCGTGTGACACTATCGCGTTTATTTCATAAAGAGTGGAGTTCCTTACCTGTAGTACTCACACGACACACTCTGGCTTGTGAAGCTGAATTTGTCACTCTTTGTTTTCTCCATGGAGTACTCTGCCAGTTTAGAATTGGTACCAGCCAGCATAACAGAGCCACTTTTGTCATTTATTTCAACTTCTAGATCGGTCTTCCAGTTGTTTTCAACAGAGGAGGTGCTGGAACTGACAAGAGACTCGCTGGATTTGTGAAGTTTAGTGGAAACTTTGGCGCTGCAGGACTGCTTTGCCCTCCAGTCCACCACTGTCAGGGGTAGCTTTTGCTTTATGTTCTCAAGATAAGGGTTGGTACACAGCATGCATGTTTTATCTTTGCGTTTCCACACATTCATGTTGAGCACGAAGGCTCCTTTACGTTCCATTTTGGTGATGTCGAAGCCTTCACCGGCCAAATTGATGCCCGGAGCAAATTCTGCATCGGCGCACTGTTTCGGTGTCCCTTCTGTGCACGACTGAAACGTGCAGTGAGGGAGGGACAGCAGGAGGCCAGCATAGATCCAGATGTTCACCTGAAACATGTTGCTGCTGATGTGGACGCTAAAAAAAACAAACAAATGAAGGTTTTCAGTTAAATAGACATAAGTATGTTTATTAGTACACAAAGAGTTCCTTCCAGTTTTTTAATTCTAAACGAGACCTGATACGATATCAAATTTTTTGCTTAAAGAAAATGAACACTAACAATGTAACTGCAATAAAACAGCACATGCAAGTTAATGATAAATTCAAGAAATATTTTTCAAGACAGAGCATAAAAAATTTGTCTTACATCTCCTGTTTTTGAAAAATTAACTAAACTTAAAATGCAAGTGCAGAGAAAAGAACAGCTACACTGACAAGATATCGAGTTTTTCATTTTTAAACCAGAAGAACTCTGAGACTGCAAACCTCCTCACTCTCTAGGCAGTATTTATTCTTTACGCTCACTGAGTCACAGCAGCAGTTGGGGAAACCTTGACTGAAACTCTCCAAAGCAATCCAGAGCTTTCAGTCTCTCTATCAGAATCAGAGACTCCTCTTTGTACACTGTTAAATCCCCGATATTTCAGTCAAGATAAACATCTATCATCAATGTCAAAGGAGCTTGCAAAGAAAAGCGTCTGGACTTCTTTAAGTT